TCATTATGCAACTTGGACAAATATGGAGGGGGAATCTGTTGCGAAGGAGATGGGTAATGCCATATTCTCCCTTACTTGTGAATTAACAGGGGAAGAAATATGTGGTGGCTTTTAAAGAACAGCATAATGATTTGAGATATTGGAACATGTTTGTCCATCAAGTAAGTGGAATAAATAAGATGACTTGATGGAAAGCAGTACGTGCCATTCTCTGTATTGTAAGAGATTTGGATGGAGACGACCAATACGATGGTGTAATAATCCAAGGTTTATTAAGTAATACAAATAGCTTAACTTATTCTTAAAACTGAGACCATAATCAATATCGATTCCACTGAGAGGTGCACTGACCCGCTACACAACTCCAACAATTTGAAAGTTATCTCTTTCATTTATACCCCAATTACAACCAAAAATAATGATAGTAAATAATAATCCTTGCATTTGATATAGCGCTTTTCACGTCTTCTATACGTCTCAAAGCACTTCACAGAATAGAATGTAAAGTGAATTGACTGTATATTTGTGGGCGAAACGCGGCAGCCGAATTGAACCCAGGTGTCTCGCTTGCAACGCGAGTGCTCTAACCACTGAGCTGCAGGTCTCCAAAATGGAATTCAAAGGTTGTTTTATCCAATCAAATCCAAAATTCAATTAGCCAATCATACCCCAAGACTGGTTCAACCAATCACGTTTCCTTCTCAGGTTCATAAATTATCAAGGTTTAATCTCAGGAATTTGGGAGTTCTCGAAGTCTCTGATACCCAGTGTGAAAAGTTCACTTTGGCAGTTAATGGTCTTAATTGACACCTTATAGTCATAATTTTTTTCCCAACTAGACTGTAAGGCAACAAGAGGTCAATTAATAAGGACAATGTCCTATCCAAGAGATATCACACGTTATTGTAAGACCCCAATCTTCCAAATACGAAAAGGAACATCCATTCATACCAAACGTGTCACAGAACCCAAACACACAGACCTCAACTCTCCTTTCTGGTCCAAGTTTTAAAACACATCCCTTTAAATCAATCAAGATATTTCTCCCAGTCCATACACACACCCTGGATATCAAACAATGATCTTAACCATAATCTTACAGTATAAATTCTGATCCTTTGAAGACTTTTGATGACAACATTTTTGGAGCTGTGCAGAAGGGCCGATATGACAGTCAGAACAGTAGTGTGCAGGACTGTGGAGTCCTGTAGCACAGTGGTTAGAGTACTCGCTTTGCAAGTCAGAGACCTGAGTTCAATTCCAGGCAGAGGGCGAAACCTTGGGCAAGTTTCCTTACTCCACACAGAGCCTAATAATAATCCCTCCAAAAAAAACCCAAACAATAATAAATTGGTCATTTTCAATCTACGACTGTTTGTGTGACATTGCTGTGCGCAATTGGCTGCCGCGTTCGCCCACAAATAAACAATCAATTCACTTTGCAGTGTGTTCTGTGAAGCGCTTTGGGACGTCCTCCCGACGTGAAAAGCGCTATATCAAATGCAAGGATTATTATTATTATAGAGTAACATAACCATATTTAAATAATACATTAAAAACACTCAATTTGATTTCTTCCAATCTTGTTTCAAAAATGAGTTGCAAAAATTAAAAAAGTGAATCCTCCAAAAGCTAGTTTGTTGAAAAATTTAAAAACATGTAAGGAAGCACATTTCTTTTTCATTTATTGATTTATTTCCACTCTACATCCAGTGTCAGCATCAAACACAATCAGGTCAGGGATGGCATCTATGTACCTTAATCACACCACATAAGAGAGCACCATTTGTCTTGATGGCAAATTGGGTTTGGGTTTCCATGCTGGGGGCTCACATTCTAATGGCTTCAGAATTCACCACAACACATTCCATTGGGATCCTTGACAGAGAGGTACGAGATCCCAGGGGTGACAATGGACAGTGCTTAAGACACCCAAAACCCACACTCTTTTAATCTTGTTTGTAACTGAAATATCTGTCTGAGCTGAGAGTGCTCTAATTGATTACCCTGTAACAGTAGTACTGGTATTACCTTGTGAGTAAACCCAACAGTTAAAAATTATTTATTTGGTGCTCCAAAGTTATGGCAGTCCCGACAGGCTAGCAGCACATTGTGGGTTGCTAAGGCTCAACCTGACTGAGCAGGTAGTGCTCGAGCTGACTGGACAGCAATGGATTTTTAATCGTTTGACAAAGTTTCTTCAGCATTACTTGCTGCACCTGAACACACACAAATTGTCAAGCTTCAGTAACACAAGACAGCTTCAAGTAATTTTTTTTTGCATCGATAAATTAAGGAAACAAACGCTGAAATGCTTTATCACAATAACTTAAAACAGTAAAAAATAATAAGATAAAAATTTTCATCTCTGAATTACAAAGATACAAAATGTATAAAAAAGTTTTTCAGATTTTTTTCACCAAGGTGTTGGATATGTTTAAAGAGAAAATCCTAGTTAACTTCTCTGTTATAAATGAGGAAGAAAATAATAACTCACCTGTTTCTGGTGTTCCAACATCATAAAGGCCTGAAGAGGTTTACTGACCTCAAGGCTGTGGCACTGTTAATAGCTCATACTTCAGAAGGAAATGATGGAAGCACTGGCAGGAGAGACGTTTTCCAGTTTACGACCACATCCTTTTAATAAAAAGATTCCAGCAGAGAAAGTAGCCGGGATAAGAAGCCTTTCACAGATATCTCAGATTTGTTAGAACAGAATCTGTAAGCCATGCTCTCTGTTATTTAAACCAAAGCTTAACACTTAATTTTGACCTCCATGTAATGTATAATATATCTTTAAATACAACTTACAGTAATTACTAGTTAGCACTGAGAAGAATTTTAGGTTGTAATGATTCTTCGGTTATTTAGCATGGATGTGTGTTGAATCGAAGTTTAGCAGTTGAATCAAGAGCAATATGTGCTCATCTCCAAACAATGTGCTGAGAAGGGTTTCTGGCTATTATATTGAACATTAAAATGTTAAGTTGGAATCTATGCTTCCCAACCATTCATTCTAATTCCCAAAATACATTTTAACTTTGCTGAGTAATGTGGAGCGCCATATTATAGCACAAATGCCAACCATGACTTGCTCAACTATCACCATGGTAAAATAAAATTGAATTAAAACAAATATTGTGCTCCCACATATAATTAGATACAAGAGGGCTTTGCTTTGCCCCCAAGCCATTACTGCTGCTAGTTTGCTCCACGCGCCTATCACAGTTTTGCGAAGAAAAAATTTATTACCACCAGCCTATCACTCAAAAAACGGCCTGCGATTGAACAACAACAACTTGGATTTATATAGTGTCTTCCATGCCGGGCGGCGTCTCAGAGCGCTTAAATTTAGAAGTGCTTAGATTGAAGGGGTAAATTCAGAACGAATCTGCGAAAACACTACTTCAGTGAGCGAATAGTAAACATATGGAACAGGCGATCCAGGGAGAAGATGGAAACAGAAAGTGTCAATTCTTTTAACAAATTAGATAGATTTCTGTTAGAAAATAGTATCTTGAGTTACAATATATAGTTTGGGACATGTCATGCGACTGCCAGGATGGTGGAAGGCGAACAAATGGACCTTGGTCTTCTTTTGCCTAGCAAATTCTTATGTTCTTATGTAAAGCATTTTCTATTCTCTTTTGTTGCCATATTTGCACAATAGGACCCCGTGTGCTGTAATTTTTTTTACACTGCAGAAAACTTGACCTAAATCCAAATTTTCCAACTGCTTCCTAATATTAAACCTGATCTTTTCATGAGTCAGTCTGGGTTGGCCAGGTTATGGGATTAATCTGTGCACATCTCCAACAACTGAGTATCCTTTTTGAAACAGGATATCCAAGAAAGCCATAAAAGCATGGTCTCTGCTTGAATTGGTGGTAATAAACGGTATTGCACCCTTCAAGTGCTGTCTATCCGATGTGCAGTTTCTCCCCCTTCTTCTCTTTTTTCATTTCCTCCCTTTTCTCCTCTCCCTTCTTCACAAAGTGGGAGTTGCCAGTGCAGAAATATAGTATTTTGTCTTTTTTGGTGAGAGAAAATATAAGATTGCTACATAAACTGGGTTATTTCAGAACTCATAGTGCAAGAGGAACTACAACACCTCCACCTGCACCAGGAATGCTGGGAGCCTCTTTGCTTAGAAAAGAGAAAATGGTTCAAACTGCAAACCTAGAATTTCTGATGCGGAATATCAATTCCACTGTCTTCCCATTACTGTTTCTTAAATAAGTCTAATATCTTATCCTCAACCACTATTCCGAGCAAACCCATTCCAGTTGTTGATTTTCCTCTATGCAAACGTCTGTCCTAAAATCGTCCTTCACTTATTCTGCTGCTTTAGTGCATCTGAAACTCTGCTTTTATGTTTGCAATTCCACATGGCATCTTAGAATTCCTCAATAAAGTGCTCTCAGAGAGGTCTCTTTTGAAGGTTGAAGAGCCCTAGTTTATCTAGTTATTTCTCATAACACAGGCCTGTAATGAGAATGGGGATCATCCTTGGTTCATTTGTCACATCGACCTTATTTTTCAGTTAAAATATTTGGATAGCTCAACTGCTGCAGTAATGTAGATACCAGAATAACGTTCAAGATGCTGATACATCAGTCAGTACACACTTCAGCATGACTGAGCGGGGGGTTTAGTTTGTGTGATGGAGGGGAAAGCTCACTTTAGTTATAATATTCAATAAAAGTTTATGTGATGCAGTTTGACACAATGGCATAAACTGGGAAACTCCAACCAGCCATTTCACCATTTCATCTTGAATCGGGTATTACCACAACATGGCTAACTAAACCTCCAATTTTGCAGTAAAGAACCCACTTGCTTTTTGTTGCTGTTTTGAAAAAGCTAACTACAAGAAGGAAAAACAAACGTTAACCAGTCCCCATTGTTACTGGATTATAATTAACCAGTTTTGCTTGAGCCTAGCATCAATCACACAGGAATGATTGGTGAGGATCTGGAGGAAGTGATGGGCTGTGGGGCTATGTGTTCCTGAACACCAGAAAACTAAAGGAGTTTTCTTCCTCATCTAACCAGTCTACTCTGTTTGTTGTGTTTGCAGAGTAAAATCGAAGATCTTGATTACAGAGAAGACGGCAGCTCATTGGAGAGGTGTGAACATGCAATAATCTCCTCATCTGGAATGTTGAGTATTCTTTGCTCCTCCAGCACCTGTACTGGTGTCCAAATCAGAGTCGATACTCTGTCCTCCATTTGGACCTATTTTTTGAATGATGGAAATCCTGTTCTTTGCAGTGCAGTGACCTTTTGGCCCAATGGCTCTCCAGGCTGTGGCCGGCCCTTTGTCCTATTCCTCCCTTAATTTTCTCCATGTGCCGTTAGGTTGACTGATGCGTTCTACTTCTCCATCTCTGTTCAGTCTTAGAGCCACTTGTACCTTCGACGTCGAGAGAGACTTAGCCTCAAACATAGCAAGCCAGTGCTGTCTCAAGATTGCGTGTCACCTCTTGCCATTCTGTTAAAAAATATTAATTTCAAGAGTGAGCTTCAGTTCACATCACAAATTGCTGCACGTTACTTAGCTTCAATTCCATCACACCTCATTCGCTTTCTGGAATTTCATGCATTCCTATTGTCCACTTGTTTATTTAACTCAACTTTTATTTAAATAATTTCTCAATTAAATTGAAACAGTGAAAGCCAGAAACATTAAAGAACACAAGTATCTCAGTAATGCTAAATGGTATTCTACACCTGTAATTGCAATACATACAGTATTGATCCTACCAGCAAGATACAGAAAATCATTCAGGGACACGCAGAATCCATAGAAAATACCAAAGCTCATAAAACTCTATAAGGTAGCAATCAGCACGAATAATGGGTGTTTAAGCATCAAAGAAACTAAAAATTGACTCATGTACAGTTTAGCTCTTGCATCCAGTTCTGATTGCTGCAACATGAAGGGGCTACCCAGACTCTAGAGGCAGTGCAATCATTAGGCAAGCTAGAATTCCTCACCCTTGAACAGGAACATCTCAGAGAGGACCTCATAGAGGTATACGATTTTAAATAGGATTGATAAACCCAGAACAAGTTTCAGGTACACCTCGGGGGGTGGGAGTGGTCACGGAAGAGGTGATGGATGGTGGGGAACAGTGCTTTTGGGTTGTTTTTGGCTTCCAAATGGTTTAGGAGTAAAAGGCAGTTTTGGCCTTCGAGAGGGAGAAGTGATCCTCAAGCCACAGGTGGTAGTGGATGGTGAGGCCAGATTTGTGCTATCTGTACTCGAAATTCCAGGTTGAACTATAATTGAGTTACTAATTTCTGTGTACAATTGGCTGCCACGTTTCGCCCACACATTTACAGTCAATTCACTTTACAGTATATTCTGTGAAACGCTTTGAGATGTCTTGAAGATGTGATAAAGGGCTATATCAAATGCAAAGATTATTATTAACTGATTTTTTTTTTTCACAAATCTGTATTAAAGCTGTAAAATTTTCTTTGGGGTATAGAGTTGCATTTTACAGCATCCAGTGAAGATGGTACTATCCCTTATTCTCTTCCTTTTGTCCCTCTCCTCTTGAAAATGGAAGCTCACATACGGTTCTACAGACGTCAGCAGCCAGCCAGCACCTTAAGAACTAACAATGAGTTATAACCATTACAATTCAAAAGACGAAGAAAGTTTTAGATAAGAATTCACTTGCTTTGTGATGTATCCTCATGTCGCAAAATATGGTTACTTTGAGGAGTCAAAGGAAAAACAAATTGAGGTCTATCTGATGTAATGTATTGACAGAGCAGCCTCATTACTGACCTGGCTTTTAAAACAAGTTAGGATCATAGAGCATTTATAGCTCAGAAGGCTATTTGATCCATTGTGTCTGTATCGGTGTTCCCCCATTGGAGCTATCTGCTCTTATCCCATTTTTCCTAATCTTTCCACTCTTTCATTATTTTTCCTTAAATTTGTGGGAAAGCATTGTCCCACAAATAGTCAAGGATTGAGTGATCAAATTATTATTAGTTTTTAATTTAATTTATTTTTGAAACGATTATTACCCCCGGAAAAGCGATCCGCCAATCATCTAAGAACCAAGTTTCTACTTACTGCTAAGTGAACAGAGGCGTGTAAGGAAATTTGTCTAAGGTTTCACCCTGTCTGGGAATCTTTACCAACAGATTATGCTGCTATTCTTTGGGATCAAATTGTGAATCCAATGACTAATGCTGCAATTCATGAGGGTCTCAAAGCACTTAACAGAAATTTTAGGGAGTGCTGAGCAGGAACTGGGTGGCAGGAAATAAAAGAGTGAAGTGAAGTGGGCTAATATGCTGTTGTTGTTGAGCCCATTTAAAACAAAATTGGATAAATACTTGAAGAAAGATCATTTTGAAAGAAATGGGAGATAAGAGTGGGGAATGGGATTGTATCAGCAAAGATGGGTCAATTGGCCTTCGGTGCTGCAAATGTTCCACAAATCAATGTTATTCTCAGGAACAAAGTACTTTTTAGCACTCACTGTTAAGCACAAGACATCCCTATTTTATAGTGTTAATATAGATCAGATATAGAGTATTAATCTCTTTATCCTTGTTTTAAAACCATGCCTTAGACCTAATCACTGATTGTGAAACTATGGAAGTTTTCGGTGTCAACTCCTACTAAAACTGAGTTTTAAACTGTTAAATGTAATTCACTCTGGACTGGAATCAAACCAAGGCCTTGGAAGGGTTAAAAAAAAGTGTTTCACGCCATTGGCTTAGTCACTTCAACAACATCTTCGAAGTCAGTGCAAATGAGATCAAGATGTCAGAATGTGGAATTGCTATATCCGTATGCTACAGTGCAGTGAATTTAATTAGAAACTCAATAGACTGCCATGTATTACACTCGTCTGCAGATATATTATCAGAATAAGAAATACTTTGTCACAAGTGGCTATTAAAGCTATGCCCATTTAAAAGGGTATTGGACAAATATTTGAAGCGGAACAATATAAAAGGGTTTTTGCAGGAAATTGGGATTAGGGTAAATAACTCCAGTGGAGATTTAGCAGAAGATTAGACCACTGAGTAGCCTCCTTCAGGACTGCCATTTTTATATTGTTAGATTGTTCTAATTGGCATATCTGTTTGATACTGGTGTGAATGTAGTACCAATATTGATAAAAATCAATAATCAAACTAATTTACTATTCTACAGATGTACTTACTCTGAATCTGGTGAGATCTCTGAGATACTGTGTGATGTTGCGGAATGTGGGGTTGAAGGACATGGGGCTGAGGTCATTGAGGAGGTCTGTGCCCCAGAGGGAGTACATGTCGTCTGGGGGGCAGAAGGAGTTGTAGTGGAAGGTGCTGAAGAAAGGATGGAAGAATTAAAAGAGGCAAGGATGGAAGACAGTACATCCAACTGCTCTGTAGAAGGCTGCCGCGTAGGTAAGGGTCCTAATTGTTCTGTGGAAGGCTGTCTTCTAGGAAATGGGCCCAGTTGTTCTCTGGAGAGATGCCTGCTAGGCATTGCATCCAGACGCTCTCTGGATAAATACCTCCTAGACAACAAGTGGAGTTGTTCTCGAGAAGGTTGTCGGCCTATTATACCTAGTTGCTCCCTAGAAGCTTGTCTTCTAGACAATATATCTAGATGTTCTTGAGAGGGATGTTTACTTGAGAGAGCTTCCAAATGCTCCCTAGATGCATGCTGACTGGGTTCAGTGTCCATCTGATCTCCAGGCGTCCGTCTGTTGGGTACTGTGTTTAACCATTCCCTGGACATCTGTTTAACAGGTAAGGCATCCAAATGTTCTCTGGAATCATGCCTGGTTGGGATTGTGTCAAGCTGTTCTCTGGACCCATGTCTGCTGGGAACAGTCTCCAGCCGTTCTCTGGATGCTTGCCTGCTGGACAGTGCATCCAGCTGTTCCCGTGACATCTGTCTCCTAACCAGCATATCCAACTGTTCTCGGGATGAATATCTGCTGGCTGGTTGAGACAGACTTCCAGTGCCTGAGTACATTCGGCCATAGGAGGCTGCTGGAACAATCCTGGGACCTAACGTTGAAGTATTGTACCAGGGCAACTCAATTTGCATTCTATTGATGGAAGTTAAACTTTCATTCTTCAATGTAGAGGATGGATAATGCATTCTGTTTTTTAGAATACCTAGAAAAAATAGATAAGATTACATTGTTAATGTGTCCCAGTCTCAGGGATTTATTTATCCTGATAATCAAAGTTTTACTAATATTCACTGAGGTTTTCCCCCGACCTGAAAAGCGCTACAGAAATGAAATTTGTTGTTGTTTTTGTAGTAAATGTAATTTTGCATTGTTGCCCTTATCCAAATTACGACTAATTCTACTTATTTTCACTCAGCATTTAAACTTCACAAAGAGTTGGGATCTTCGGCCTTTCATTTGAGTCCAATACAGAAACACTAAAGAATGGAAGACCATTGCTGTAACCTGCTCATTTATAGAGCCTCCACATGCTACAATGACAGGCATATTTTACAAATCTATTTGTAGATACTGTGAAAAATCCCCATTTTGAGCTGCCAATTTAAAGCTGATCTAGCTCTTGTGAGAGTCTTGGAACTTGTTCCCAAGAATCAAATAATAATAATAATCTTTACATTTGATATAGCGCCTTATCACATTTTTGAGAAGTCTCAAAGCGCTTCACAAAATATACTGCAAAGTGAATTTACTGTATATTTTGTGGGCGAAATGCGCCAGCCAATTGCGCACAGCGGTATCCCACAAACAGTTGTGGATTGAAGTGAGCAATTTATTATTATTTTTTTGGAAGAATTATTACTCCTGGAAAAGTGATCTGCTAATCGACTAACAACAGGATTCCTACTTACTGCTTGGTAAACAGATACGTGCAGAGTAAGGAAACTTGCCCAACAATGCATATATTAATAGTAATCCTTGCATTTGATGTAGCGCCTTATCACATCTTCGAGACGTCTCAAAGTGCAGCACACAGTATACTCCAAAGAGAATTGACTATATATTTTGTGGGCGAAATGCGGCAGCAAATTGTTGCAATAGTCTACGTAATTCAGTGTGTTTTACCTGAATGTGAAAACTTTATGGAGCAAATTACCAAAATTACACACAATTTCAAATCAATTCAGCATCACAAAATCCACACTTGTTTAACACTTTTTTCCGGACATAAATTGTACTGCACAAAAAGAGGCCATTCGGCCCATCGAGTTTGTGCCGGCTCTTTGAATAGAGCAATGTAATGTCAATCCCACTCCCCAGCCCTTTCCCCATAACCCTGCAAACCCGTCCTCCTCAAATACCCATCCACCGCGTTTTTAAAAGTTGTTATTGAATCGGCCTCGACCGCCCTTTCAGGCAATGCGTTCCAGATTCGAACAACTCGTTGCGTGAAAACATTTCTTCTCACCTCCCCTCTGCTTCTGTTAGAGACTATTTTGAATCTGTGACCTCGAGTCACCGACACACCCACCAATGGAAACAGTTTTTCCCTTTCTAACCTATCAAATCCCCTCATGATTTTGAAGATCTCTGTTAGGTCTCCTCATAACCTTCTCTGCTTCAATGAGAATAATCCTCTCCTCTCTACCCTCTCCTCATAATCAAGGTCCCTCATTCCTGGTACCATTCTTGTAAAGCGAGAAAAAGGAGTATGAGGGTAAGCTAGCCAGGAACATTAAGTCTGATTGTAAAAGTTTTTACAAACATATTAAGAGGAATAGGCTAGTGACGGTAAATGTAGGTCCACTTCAGTCAGAGACGGGAGAAGTTATAATGGGGGACAAGGACATGGCAGAATCCCTAAATGGGTACTTTGCATCTGTCTTCACCCTAGAAGACACAACAAGTCTGCCAACAATAGAGATGCACCAAGAGGATAAGGACAGGGAGCAACTTAGGGAAATTTTCATTAGTAGAGAATTGGTGCTCGGGAAACTGTTAGCACTAAAAAGTGACAAATCCCCTGGTCCGGATGGCTTGCATCCCAGGGTTTTAAAAGAGGTAGCTTATGAGATAGTGGAGGCCTTGTGTCTGATCTTCCAAAATTTCTTGGATTCTGGAACAGTCCTCATGGATTGGAAGATCGCAAATGTCACACCACTATTTAAAAAGGGTGGAAAGGAAAAGATGGGGAACTATAGGCCAGTTAAAATTTTAGAATCATTGATTAAGGATGTGGTAGAGCGGTATTTAGGGGAGCACAATATAATTAGGCCAAGTCAACATGGCTTTACAAAAGGGAAATCATGTTTGACAAATCTCATAGAGTTTTTTGAGGATATTTCGAGTAAACTAGATAAGGGTGAATCAGTGGATGTGGTCTATTTGGACTTCCAGAAGGCATTCGATAAGGTGCCGCATAAAAGGTTAGTCCAAAAGATAAGGGCCCATGGAATTGGGGGGAGCATATTAACGTGGATTGGGGAATGGTTAACGGGTAGGAAACAAAGAGTAGGGATAAACGGGTCCTTTTCAGATTGGCGGGATGTGACTAGTGGAGTGCCACAAGGATCAGTCCTTGGGCCTCAGCTATTTACCATCTACATCAACGATCTAGATGAGGACATCGAAGTTAATATATCTAAATTCGCGGATGACACAAAACTAGGAGGAAGTGTCAACACAGAGGACGACATTAAAAAAATGCAGCGAGACATAGATAGGTTAGGTGATTGGGCAGGTAGGTGGCAGATGAAGTATAATGTAGGGAAGTGCGAAGTCATCCACCTAGGTAGCAAAAACAGTAGAGCGGGTTATTTTTTAGAAGGGGAGAGATTAGAATGTGTTAGCGTCCAGAATGTGTTAGCGTCACAGAAAGTTAGTCTGCAGGTGCAGCAGCAATTAGGAAGGCGAATGGTATGTTAGCATTCATTATGAAAGGATTAGAGTATAAGAGTAGGGAAGTCTTGCTGCAACTGTATAGGGCCCTGGTGAGACCACACCTGGAATACTCTGTGCAGTTTTGGTCTCCTTATTTAAGGAAGGATGTACTTGCCTTGGAGGGGGTGCAGCGTAGATTTACTAGGTTAGTGCCAGGGATGAAGGGGATGAGTTACGAGGATAGGCTGACCAATTTGGGCCTATATTCTCCAGAATATAGAAGAATTAGAGGGGATCTTATAGAAACCTATAAGATCATCAAAGGGCATGATAGAGTAGATAGTGGGAGATTGTTTCCCCTGGTTGGAGAAACTAAAACCAGGGGTCACAACCTTAAAATCAGAGGCCAGCCCTTTCGCACTGAATTGAGGAAGAACTTCTTCACTCAAAGGGTGGTGAATGTATGGAACTCATTACCCCAAAGGGCTGTTGATGCTCAGTCCTTGAACATATTCAAGACTGAGATAGATAGATTTCTTATTGCAAAAGGTATTAAGGGGTATGGGGATAAGGCAGGGTTAGGTTATTAGCTGGAGTTAGATTAGAAGATCAGCCTTGATTGAATGGCGAGGCAGGCTCGAAGGGCCGAATGGCCTACTCCTGCTCCTACATGTTATGTTATGTAAATCTCCTCTGCGTCCTTTCCAATGCCTTAACATCCTTCCTATAGTGTGGTGCCCAGAACTAGGCGCAGTATTCTAACTCATTTATGTATATTAAATTAGTTCAGAATATGTCCTGTTTTATATTCAGAAACTCCACTCTATCACCAGTGGATGTTACAAACAAAAGAAAGCACTTTATAATAAGGGAGGGAGGGTTCAGTTGCGATTTAATTCATGTTCCCCCCTTCCCCACTTTTATTCTTTCCTGAACGTAATCTTTTATGTTACTCATGGTGCTGGCACTCATGGTTACTGTATATACAGAAACATTATACTCATCTTATACATAGCATATTTACATAGATACTGTATATCCTCCCCAACATGCAATCAAATAAAGTTTGACATTTCTGAAGTTCAAATGATGCGAACCTACGTGATTTACTCCACCATTCTCTGGTAGGAAACAAGACACTGAAAATCGAAAAAATCAAAAAAACTCCTTTCCCAGTAGAGTATTCATCTGTATACAGTATATGAAGCAACACAGGATGGAGGCTGATTCAAGGGTTTAATGCACTCCAGCCTATATGTTATCCTAGATATAATAATAATAATAATCGTTTTCATATCAGGAGAATATCTCAAAGATTGTCATACTATATCGAATAAAGTGCCTGTATTTTGTAGGAAAACATCTACGTACATATTAAAAATATATACCAAAGTTATACCAAACTGCTACGCACCCTCAATATATAATACTCTTTCTTGCATTTGATACAGTGCCTCATCATGTGCTTCGCCTCATTGAAGCGCATTTACTATTAGTACAGTACTTGTGCACAGCATTGACCCATAGACAGCTAGAATGATTAATTTTATTGTAAGATTTGTAAATAGAGACATAGAGTACAAAAGCAAGGAAGTTATGCAAAACCTTTAAAAACTACTAAAATACACAGTGACTTCACTTCACAGTATATTCTGTCAAGCGATTTGAGACATCTTGAAGACATGATAAGGCGCTATATCAAATGCAAGGATTATGATTATTATTATCACTGGTTAGGCAGGTGGAGTGTATTGTCTAATTCTAGGCAACACACATTAGGAAGGATGTCAGGCCTTGGAGATTTACCAGAATGATGCTAGGGATGAGGGACTTCAGTTATGAGGAGAGACTAGAAAAAATGGGATTATTCTCCTTAGCCCACAAAATACAGTCACTGCACTTTACAGTATATCCTGTGAAGCACTTTGAGACGTCTCAAGGACGTGATGAGGCACTATATCAAATGAAAGGATTATTATTATTATTATTTTATTATTATTATATTAGACTAGAGAAGGTTAAGGGGAGATTTAATAGAGGTGTTCAAGATTATGAGGGGTTTTGATACAGTAAATAAGAAGAAACTGTTTCCATTGGCAGGTGGGTCGGTAACCAGAGGACACAGATTTAGGATAATTCGCAAAAGAACCAGAAGGGAGATGAGGAGAAAATGTTTTATGCAGCGAGTTATTGGAATGTATTACCTGAAATGTGTGGAGGAAGCAGATTCAATAATAACTTTCAAAACGAATTGGATATATATTTGAAAAAAAATTGCAAGGCTATGGGGAAAGAGCGGGCGAATGCAACTAATTGGATAGCTCCTTCAAAGAGCCGGCACAGGCACAATTGACTGAATGGCCTCCATCTGCACTATAAGATTCTATGATTCTATTTGATGGTCAGGATACTAAAACTTCCTTCCCTTTTCAAATCACGCCACCCGAACTTGTAGACCTTGGTTTATCGTCTCATCTAGAGAGATGGCCCCACAATTCTTTTCTAACACTTCACCGGAATGTCAGCTTAAACCATAAAACCATAAGATATAGGAGCAGGAATAGGCCATTTGGCCCCTCGAGCCTGCCCCGCCATTTAATAAGATCATGGCTGATCTTCTACCCTAATTCCATTTACCCGCCCTATCCCCATATCCCTTAATCCCTCTATTCTTTAGAAATCTATCAAGTTTAGTCTTGAATATGTTCAAGGACTGAGCATCCACAGCCTTCTGAGATAGAGAATTTCACAAATTCACTACCCTCTGGTGAAGAAATGTTTCCTCAACTCAGTTCGAAAAGGCTGACCTTTAATCCTGAGACTATGACCCCTAGTTTTAGATTCTCCAACCAGGGGAAACAGTCTCACGGCATCTACCCTGTCAAGACCCTTAAGAATCTTATAGGTTCCTATAAGATCACCTCTAATTCTTCTATATTCTAGAGAATATAGGCCTAGTTTACTCAACCTATCCTCATAGGTCAACCCCCTCATCCCAGGAACAACCCAGTTAATGTACGCTGCATTGAATGTACGCTAAGGCGAGTATGTACTTTCTTAAATAAGGAGACCAAAATTGCACACAATATTCTAGGTGTGGTTTCACCAAGGCCTTATACCATACCCAATTTACCTTTCCTCTGTCGCTCTTGTTTGAAGTGATGGGTTGATGTGTTCTCATCACCGCTCGCAATGGACATATCGGGCTGGTTGTTATTTGTGGCATCCTTGCTGAAATCAAGGCCCAGTTTTCTCTCAGAGCCCCACTTCTGCAGTGAACAGGCGTGAACTTCACACTCTCCCAGTGTTGGCCAGTAGGATATTAAATCATTGCCATCACAGTCTGTAATATATGATGAAACATTTTACAGCCATTAATGTCCTTAAATTGTGACTTTTTGGCATGATTCACAGCAATTAAAAATCTGGTGGTGTAAAATTCCACCTAGGTCTACATTTACTCCATTACTGTAGCATTTTATACTGCCCAGAATCTAGTAAATTATTGAATTTAATTCCGATTTAATTTTGAATTGGTTTGGTGTAAAAGAACTTACATAACTTCAACATTAAGATTGCATAGGCTTCAACATTAAGATTGCATTTAAGAATTTGGCAAAATTCTGTATGTTTGAAATCCTATGTTAATAGCGTAAATCTAGACACATAGTAAGTTCTAATCTGAAATATGCCCCACCCCCACCAACATGAAGGATTCGTAAAATAATCTTTCTTGATATTTTCCACTCTTTGATATTCGCTTTCCTCTTCCTCTGTAATAAATCAGAATATGAGATGCCATGGAAGTATTTTGCTCCATAATAAAGGCTCTTGCATTAGAAAATGGACTGGATTGCACTAGAAAAGAAGAACTTATATTTTCATAATGTTTTATCACATCAAAATGCTGCACAGTTCAAACCGCTCCACAGATAATTATTTAGTCACTATTTTGCGGGTAAACGTAGCACCTTGAAATGTCTCAAAGTGCTGCACAGGTAATTATCGTCAAACCTACTGTTTTTGTAGGCAAACATTTATACCTTGTATAATCCCAAATAGCAAACTCTTATGCAAAACTCCACAAATAGCAATGAATAGCATGTCTGGAAAATTGGAACAATGAGCAATGCGGAGCTCCCCTAGATCTGCACTGAAGGGTCAGCTTGGCCTATGAGCTCAAGCCCTGATATTGGGCTTGATTCCATAGCATTCAGAGGGTCAGAGATGAAGCCAAGTGAGCTGTGTTGACTCCTAAAATATGTGAGTCAAGCCTATTTCTCCTCTGCCCCCATCCACTATCCTAATAACCAGAAGATAGAGTCATGAGGGTCTCATCCATCTTTTTTAGACACGTACAAGTCTGATAAATATCTGTAGTTAATCTTCTATCAGAGATACAAATCTCAGAGAATCTCACTCGAGAAACCTATTAAAAACTCACAAAATTGTTAATGCTTTATTAAGTACAGTATTGTCCTTTGGGACCATTAGTATCCAGACATTGACTATCTTTTGAAGAATGAATTTTACAGCCACATTTCAGGGCCTGAGCTTGATTTCTTCATCATTTGACATCTATTAAAAAGGTCAATAAAATATCCAGGTTGACAATGAATGATCAGGGGACTGATGCTCATAGAAAGCCAATGGAATGAGTGTAGGTTTCTGCTGAATGCGAAGAACAAAATATTTTCTTACCTGAAGCCCCCCAATTGTAGTAAACCCTGGGCGTGTGTACCTGAGGCCCGAGTCTGGCTCATGGTCTTAGGCTCGACTGGCTTAAAGTTTAAGACTGGGCAAATGTAAGGTTTTTGAAATTCTTCAATTCATTGTTAATATAGACGCCATGTCTGTGTGTGTGTCTCTATGTGTCTGTGAGTGTCTGTGTGTGTGAGTGTATCTGTGTGCCTCGCTCTCTGTGTTTGCGAGTGTTTTTGTGTGTCTCTCTATGTGTTTATGAGTGTCTGTGTGTATCTCTCTGTGTTTGTGGGTGTATGGTGTGTTTCTCGCTCTCTGTATCTGTGTGTCTCTTTCTGTGTTTGTGTCTGTGTGTGTGTCTCTCTCTGTGTGTGTGAATGTATGTGTGTTTCTCGCTCTCCGTGTTTGTGTGCTTCTCTAAGTGTGTTTGTGAGTGTCTGTGAGTGTCTCTCTGTGTTTGCGGGTTTATGTGTGTGTGTGAGTGTATGTGTGTTTCTCACTCTCTGTGTCTATGTGTGTCTCTCTGTGTGTTTGTGAGTGGGACGTCCTCCCGACGTGAAAGACATTACACAAATGTATTCTTGTTGTTGTTGTTGTCTGTGCGTGTGTCTCTCTATGAATGAGAGTGTCTGTGTGTGTTTCTATGTGTTTGTGAGTGTCTCTGTGTGTCTCTCTATGTGTTTGTGAGTGTCTGTGTGTTTCTCTCTATGTGTTTGTGAGTGTCTCCATGTGAGTGTCTGTGTGTGTGTGTGTGAGTGTATGTGTGTATCTCGCTCTGTGTCTGTCCCTCTCTGTATTTGTGAGTATCTGTGTCTCTCTCTGTGAGTGTGAATGTCGTGTGTCTGTGTGTGTCTCTCTATGTGTTTGTGAGTGTCTGTGTGTGTGAGTGTATGTGCGTGTCTTGCTCTTTGTGTCTGTGTGTTTCTTTCTATGTCTCTCTATGTGTTTGAGTGTCTGTGTGTGTCTCTCCAGGTGTGTAAGTGTCTGTGTGTCTCTCCCTGTGTTCTTCAGTGTCTGTCTCTCTCTCTCTCTCTCTCTGTCTGTTTGTCCTTCTATGTGTTTGTGAGTGCGTGTGTGTGTGTATGTGTGAATGTATGTGTGCGTCTCTCTCTATATATGTAGGTGTCTGTGTGTGTCTCTCTCTATGTGTGTGTTTGTTTGTGTGTCTCTCTATTTGTGTGTGTCCTCTGTGCTTGTGAGTGTACGTGAGTGTCTATGTGATTGTGAGTATCTGTACGTGTATCACTCTTTGTGTCTGTGTGTGTCTGTCTCTGTGTTTTTGAGTGTCTGTGTATGTTTCGCTCTATGACTGTGTCTGTGTGTGTTCTCTCTCTGTGTTTGTGGGTATTTGTGTGTCTCTCTCTGTGTCTCATGTGTACCTCCGCACCTCGGGCGCTGGCAGCATCAGCCTCCACGGCTGCACACTCAACCTCACTCAGCCAGTCAGGAACCTGGGTGTCTTGTTTGACCCTGAATTGTCCTTTCTCTCCTACATCCACACCATGACCGGCACTGCCTACCACCACCTCCGCAACACTGCCAGACTCCGCCACTGCCTCACTCCTCAGGCTGCCAAAACTCTCACCCACACATTCGTCACATTAAGGCTCGATTATGGAAACTCTCCCAGTCGCCCTCCCACCTCTCTGCCTTCCCTCACCCCTATTCCACCCCTTCCCCATGCTTGGGTCCCGACCCCTGACTGTCCAGCGCCTTGTGAAGTCCTCCCAACATGAAAGGCGCTCTATAAATGTAATTTTGTTGTTGTGTTTGGGAGTGTCTGCATGTGTCTCTCTATGTGTTTGTGAGTGTCCCTATGTGAGTGTCTGTGTGTGCATGTATGTGTGTGTCTCGCTCTCTGTGTCTGTCCCTCCGGTATTTGTGCGTCTGTGTGTTTCTCTCTATGTGATCGTCTGTTTCCCTCCCCTGTCCTTCCCCTTCAGGCTGCTTATTGCTAACCACAATGTGCGCCCTCCCCACTCTATGCCACCTTCTGGCCCCCACAGCCTCCTGCAGGCTGACAATGTTCCACTAATCCACCGCCTCTCATCTTAGCGTGCGCATCTTGGCTGCCGGCCCTAATCCGAGCTGGCCCTCCCTCAAAATGCCCCCCTCCCTGCAAATCACCCGCTCTATCCTGCTCTCTCTTCTCCCTCCCCGCCTCCTATCTCTACTTGGCCCCCCCACTGCCATTTTCTGCTCTAACCTGGGAATCCTTCGTCGGGCTCATCGCGGCACTTGGCGTTGGCTGTCCTGCAGCAGCCACACCGACTGCCCCATTCCCCAATACCGCCGCAAGCCACCCCGGACCCAGACCCCGGGGGCTAACCTCTCCTCCTTATCCGCAGCCTCCCTGCCAAGCAATCCATTACCCCCTCCCATCCCACATATCCCCCTGCCAACTGTCTTCACCATCGTAAACTCCATGAAGCCCACCACCTGCTCCCTGGACCCCATCCCCACCCCTCTCCTTAAATCCCAGCTCCACCTCCTTACCCCACTACTCGCTGACATCATCAACCTCTCCCTGTCAGGGACTGTTCCTTCCCCCCTCAAAACAGTCACTATCACCCCACCTTGAAAAAAAACTTCCCTTGACCCATCACAGCAATCCAGCTACCGGCCCATCTCCCACCTCCCTTTTTTGTCTAAGGTCCTTGAGAGCCGTTGCCTCCCAGCTTCGCTCTTTCCTCTCCTCCCGACTCCCTCCATGAACCCCTCCAATCGGGTTTCCGGGCTGCCCACAGCACAGAAACTGCTCTGGGAAAGTCACAAATGACATCCTGACCATGTGTGACCAGGGCTCCCTCTGCCTCCTCGTCCTCCCTGCCGCCTTTGACACTGTGGACCACTCAATGCTCCTCTACGGCCTCTCCTCCCACCTCAACCTTCAAGTTTCTGTCTTTGACTGGTTTAGATTCTACCTTTCACACCGCCTCCAATTCATCTCTGCAAGCGGCTTCTCCTCCAACCTCTGCACCTCTCGTGCAGTGCTCCTCAGGGCTCAATCCCCTTCTCTTCACCCTCTACGTGCTCCCCTTGGTGACATCATCTGCAGACATGGGGTAAATGTCCACATGTATGCGGATGACACCCAACTCTACCTCTCTACCTCCACCCTCAACTCCAGGACTACTGGCGTCCTGACCGACTGCCTGTGCAACATCAAGCCTTGGATGAGGGACAACTTTCTCGAACTCGGCGTCAGCAAGACCGAAGCCCTCCTGATTGGCTCGCGCCAGCGCCTCCACACCTTGGGCGCTGGCAGCATCAGCACACTCAACCTCACTCAGCCAGTCAGGAACCTGGGCGTCTTGTTTGACCCTGAAGTGTCATTTCTCTCCCGCATCCGTGCCATGACAGGAAATGCCTACCACCACCTCTGCAACATTGCCAGACTCCACCACTGCCTCACCCCTCAGGCTGCCGAGGCCCTCATCTACGCATTCACCAGGACGTCCTCCCTATGTGAAAGGTGCTCTATAAATGTAATTTTGTTGTTGTGTTATTGCTGATTGTCTGCGTGTGTCTCTTTCTGTGTTTGTGGGTGTCTGTGTGTTTCTCTCTCTCTCTGTCTGTGTGTGTCTCTCTATGTGTTTGTGAGTAATCAATCACCAGTATCATAGCCTGGCCGACTTGTCA